CTTCTCATACCCATCCTCTAAATGGGCGGCGGCGGCTTCCCTCCTTGCGTCACGTGATCACCTCCGCCTGGCCCTCGTTATCATTCTGCCAATGGTGTCCAGCCGGGTGTGTGTGATCCAGCTGGCTTTGTTTTATGGAGAAAAAATATCTGGCTCAAAAAAAAATTATCTTTTTTCTTTTCCTTTTCTGTCCTTAATCGCAGCTCTCATCTTCTCTGGCCGCCAACAGAACAATGCGACCAGTAGTGTGATAACCTCAATTTTCGCCAATTATCAGAATGGGTGGTCGTCCAGCAAAACACAGTCGACCGTCGTCTCGAAAAAACAGTTCCATTGTTCTAGTCATTCTTGGTGCCAATTTCTGATAACATAGTTTCGTTATCACAACCGAATTCTAAAACCTATAGATGTCTTGTCAAAAACGGCCAAGTCGTGACTCAGGGTTGGCTTCGTGTGCGGTTAGCAGACGACCTATTAACTCCTTTCCCGACAATATTGTTTGCCCCCTCTGACACAGTTATTTTTTTTTATCTATCCAAAGCCCTGTATTTCACCTGTTTTTTGTCAATTATCAAAATAACATTGTCAGTTGGAGTTTTTTTAGCTAGCCGGTCTGTGGTTTGCTAATTAGATGTTCGCCAGCATTAAGCGGCTGTTATCTATCCCCGAGAACACAAGTTCGCCACCAGAATATAGTCGATTTTCTTATCCATTTAGAATTTTTCTGCGATGGTAATGAAACCTTTCACGATTTGCGACTTATCAAAATAACATCGTCAATGTCCCCGGTCGTGGGTGGCTTTTTTTATCATCTAAGCTTAAGTCTCGCCTCTCTTTTCCTTTCTTTCCTTTCTCTTTTTCCTTTCTTTTCTTTTTGTGCTGGTAAATGGTGTCACAAAATGTTGGCGAGCCATATTATTTAAAAAAAAATGTTTGGTTAAATTCGGAACGAAGTTCACTATCAATACTTGAAAGAGTACTAACAATTATTGGACTGAAGAAACCTGTTTTCCTAATGAATTGTTTTAAAAGAAAGACTTTATAAATAACCGCCAAAAAATGAATTAATGAACATTGTATATTTCCATCTTTAATTGATTGATCGATTCGTTTTCGATGGCATATCAACTTTTTGTAGGTTATTTAAAGTCAGAAAATATATTTAGATTTTATGAATGTTTTTAGATAATATTTTAGCGATACTAGTCTTACTATTTAGCCCATAGCTGGTTGGAGATTTGGTGATTTCAAACCTAATAAGAATTTGATAAACAAACAAGAAACTATAAGTTTGGATATAAAGTGGAGGCTCAATTTTATAACACAAGTAATAAATAAACTGATTCCTCACATTGTGGTCACTATATTTTCCACACATGTATATTCCAGAGAATTTAGATAAATCTAAAATACTTGCCTGTGTAGCTAATCTGTATTCGATTGATTGATTCGTTTTCTAAGGATTATCAACACTTTACCGATTATTTCAAGCTAGAAAAATTTTTTAGACTGTAAGAATTTTTTCTGAGATAATAATGTTGATAATAGTGATGTATGTCTTACTATTTGACCCATAGCTGGGAGAAGAGGTGGAATGAAAACTAATCAAAATTTGATAAACAAAAAAGAAATTATAATGCAGATATAAAGTGGATGGTCAAATCTATATTACAAGCTATATATAAAAAAGACCCCTCATTTTGTGGCGACAGTAGTTTCTATATATTTATATACCAGGGAAAATTGGATAAATCTAAAAGACATGACTGTGTAATTAATAAGTATTTGATTGATTGATTCGTTTATCAACCCTTTGCAGGTTATTTAAAGCCAGAAAGTATTTTTAGATTGTAATATTTTTTAAGGAGACGGCTAATATTATCCTTACCTTATTTTTTCGGTAACTATTTAATCCATTTTTTTTAAATATGAACTCTTTCCTCCATTCTGTATGTCTGGGATATTGCTTTTTCTTTCTTTATCTATTGATATTCTAACATATTTTTAATTTAATTTGTTTTCTTGATATTTTGTGTATTTAATTAATTTCTCTGCACAAGTATCTTCTATTCCAGTCTACAGGTTTGCCTTCGTTTATCATTTGAGGACTTGCGATTCCGTCCGTCATTCAGTTATTTTCTATGTATTACTTTTATTTCAGGCTCCATTCTACGTTTGTTTCAATTTTTGAATACATCCATCCTTGTTTTTCTTTTGTCGGTTCCTCTGTGTTACGTCCATTTATATTTTGGGGTCTTTAAGATTCCGTACTTTTATTGCCACTATTACTGCCACATCTTTTCTGGGGCTCCTCCTGTATATTTTTTAAACTTGAGATAAAATAAAAAAAGTAATCTGCAACGGTATCTGTCCTGACCTGGCATTTGGGCTTCAGTCACCTTCACATCGCCGTAACGCAGCTCCCCTGAGCTTTTTTTATATAAATACGTTCATGGTAATTGTTCTGATGAATTTTCCTGTATAGTATCGAAACATTATGAATTCAAACGCAGACCTAGATTGGTGGTGAATCTCATCATTTTAAATTTGAAATGGCTAGATGTAACCGTAAGTTCTATGCAGACAATTTCATCTTTTACACTTCTCGCTTGTTGCTGTTGTGGCCTTTTTCCTGGCCAGAAAAGAAAGACACAGATGACGAAGGTAGGTTGAACAAGTGTATTAAAATAACAGATATATACAAAGCAAGAGTGTTAATAATAAGCAGATAGAGGTGTACGTCCAAACGATCAGCTTACACTGCGTCTCGGCTGTTCAACGACTGCTTATAACGATATCTATTGAATATAAAATACAAGTGTGGCACAAGGCAAAAAAGGGGGGAGTGAGATGGAGGTTGGTCTTCACTAACTATCTTATCCGATTCACGACACATTTATTCGTTACAATTTGCACATACAACACAAAAAAACTCGTCTATCACCTATCAATCCTCCATAGACCATAATACTGCATACTCTCAGGCGGGGGGAGGGGGGGCTATAGAACGCACGCCGCGATTTAAAAATTTGACGAGAAAAAATATATTTTATATATATATATATATATATACAAATCCAATATTTTGACGATGAGTGGAGAAGAGGATGAACCCAAAATACAAACCAACGACTGACTACGACTAGTATTTAGTCACCCCCCCTCCACGAGGATATCATGTGGGACAAGGCCTTTTTAACGTGGGATCTCCGAGCCCGTGGGCTCGGCCAAAAATATGCTCATTGAACACGTATAAACGGGTTCAGGGTCGTTTTACCTCCCCGAAAGAGAATACGCCCTTCGGCGTAGCCTCCTTCGGGTTACTCCCCGCCCGAAGACAGAGAGTTCAACCAGTCGACACGAGGGCGTCATGTGGCACAAGGCCTTTTTAATGTGGGATCTCCGAGCCCGTGAGCTCGGCCAAAAATATGCCCATTGAACCCGTATAAACGGGTTCAGGGTCGGTTTACCTTCCCGAAAGAGAATCCGCCCTTCGGCGTAGCCTCGTTCGAGTTACTTCCCGCCGGAAGGCAGAAAGTTCAACCGATCAGCCAGTCGACTGACTACGACTGCCCTAGGAAGTCTCGCAATTAGTATTTATGAGAGGAGGAAGAGTTCATTCTACTGTAGGAGGGTTTAGCACAACATTTGTGAAATTCTCTTCCAGTTTCTTGCTTACCCATTCAAAGTCAATCGTTATCTTCTATTGTTTGTTTTTTTGTTGTTCTATCTCCGTAAAAATGTTTTTTTTTTCTTATATGCTCTAATTTCAGTAACGTCTTACATTTTTTGGGGCTTTATTACCATGTTTGGGTATTAAAGCATCTCATCGATTAAAACATTAACTATGATTACAGTTCCCATCTGCTTATATTATCTCTCTCTTTAAAAGACAGGATGTGTGTGTGTGTGTGTGTGTGTGTGTGTGTGTGTGTGTAACGAATGCAGGGGCGCAATTTTCGACGGATTTGCAACAAAATTTACATGCCCATGCTCCAAGTTATCGGGAAGGCCAATACCGACTTTGCATTTCCCAACTCCCATCGATAGTGGAAATAATCGATGTTTTTCATGCTTCTACGGCAGTTTTCATGTAGTTTGCGGCCATTTTCTACTGGTCAGATTGAGAGCCAATAGCTGGCTGCCACGAATAGTCAGGAAAATTCTATTGGCCAGCGTGAGAGCCAACAGCTGACTGACACGAATGTTGACTAGCATGCTAGCATGAAAAAAAAATTCGATAGCTGGATTCGTCACAAGTTGGAAAAATTTAAATCTGTATGGCACTTTATTCCAATTGGCTCATTCGCTTGCTTAAACTCAACGTTGATTCTGATTTCACAGAACTGGGTTGGTTGTGAAAAAGTATTTGTTGTTAACATTCTTTTTTCATTCGGTTTTTCAAGTTATGAGTCTTTTTTAAAGCTGATCGTTTTGTGTTCATTTTGTTTATTTCTTTTTTCGTAACAGATTTAATGTTTAGTATAGAGCTTAGAAAAAATTCGCAGTGTGAGATAGGCAAGAAGTAAGGCATGTAGCAACATCAGCACGGCAAAGGCCACTCCTTTAAAGGCAAGGAAAGGCAAAAATATTTTAAGTCAAGTGATATCGATTGCTGTATGAGTCGTACGAATTTTTAATCAAGCACGGGCAACGCCGGGCCATGCTGCTAGTTAAATATAATTTGATATCTCCTATTTGAGACATCTAAAGTCTTGCATTGACTGTCAAAATAGGGAGAAAGTTAACCTCATTCACTACTCTCTGTGCAAATTGTAACTGCAAACTCTGAAACTATAATGTGTAAATTTTAACGATTATGTTTGAAAGAAAATAGTGATTTTTTTTTCTATGAAAGTTTCCACGTCGTAAACTTTCCATTTTCGTTACTACCTGCTTTGCTGTTTTTACACTAAATGACACGATCGGAATGTGCGACAAGATACAATGCTACATCATAGGGTGTACATTGACACAATCGAACTCGATGACACCCAACAATGAATGCGGTTGTTATTGACACGATCATATTCGGGTATCAAATCGTTATATTTGGATAGCGTCGATATTTTTCAATATTTTACTGATAGGATCAAAGCCTCCGCTATAGATTTTTCTCCGTGAATTTAATCTCGTTTCAAGGTTACAGCAGCCTAACAAGTATTGTTCAGACAAAAAATTTGAGTATTTATTTTTAAATATTTGTCTTTTCAAAAACCACACTTTTATTTAAAAACAAGAATCGTTTTTTTTTAAACTTTTCTAATAGAAAGAGGAAAGGCCCGAGATTCAAGTTACAAATTGGAGATGTGAACATCCAACAAGTAATGAAGGTTAAATGTTAGGTGTCTGTTATAAAAGAGGTCGGAAAATGCGACAAGAAAATTTGAACCGCATTGTGCTAACGAAAGAGGAATTCGAAATGATAAGCAAAGTGCTGAAAACAGAAAAAAATACATTAGACATAAAGAAAAGTATGCTGGACTGCTATGCTCTATACATCCTCCTATATGACAGTGAATGCTAGACAATCTCTCCACAGATGAGGGGAAAACGGGATGCATCAGAAATGTAATTCTACAGAAACATACTGAGACTTACATGGAGAGAGCGATTAGCAACGAAGATGTTTGAAAGAAAATGGTAACCAAAAGAACGCTTAAATCATGAAAAGTCACCTGGCATTAGTTGGACTGATAATGAGCAAGGAGCAAGGAGCCATTGGAAAACTGAACTCTCACTGGGCGTTTTAGAATCACGATAGGCGAAGGCAGAGAGCTTGTATGAACGAATTGCGGCGGGAAGTTGAAAAATTCCAAGGGTCACAAAGAATGACAAGTTATGGAGAACCATAATCGTCCACGTTATGTAGGGACGGTGCACATAGAAGATGATCTGAAATTAGTTTTATCGACATAGTTTTGCAAATGATTTTTTTTTCAGAATGTGTTTCAAGTGAGCTCATGTAAAGTTACCCAAACATTCTGCTGTTTCTGAAGTTACTATTCATCATTTATTGTTGCATACGAGGCTCTGGATAAAGTTACCACCTTTGATATATCTGGCACGCTGCACCTTCGGGCAAACGGGCATCACTGGCTCTAAATCATCTCAAATCTCTAACGTGATTGCTCAAAGTTACCATGCCCCAGTAAACCGTTTCAGCTGGCGGACTAAACTCACATGAGAAGGTGGTGTTAACACGGCACCACTGGGCGAAGGAACCCCTCGACGCAGATCATATTTAGAGGACATTGGTTGTGGTTTAATCTGGAGAGAGTTAGGCCTAAAACACGCCATATGATGATCATACCAAGAAACCGTTTCAGCTGGCGGACTAAACTCACATGAGAAGGTGGTGTTAACACGGCACCACTGGGCGAAGGAACGCCTCGACGCAGATCATATTGAGAGGACATTGGTTGTGGTTTAATCTGGAGAGAGACAGGCCTAAGACACGCCACATGATGATCATACCAAGAAACCGCACGCGGAGAGCGAGGCTCTGGCACACAACGGCGGCAGATCTATGGAAATTGTGGAAAGCTCAGCATGTCCTTCCAGTGTTAAGGGCGGGTGATATAGGAGGAGTCATTCACGACGATAATTCTACGATCTTTTTTAAAAGCAAGTGTAGAAGTTATTGGAAGCGATAGAGGTGCGGGCATTAAACCAGAACATGAAGAAATAGAATAGAAATCCGGTAAGTGCTGAAAAATTATCGTCCCGTTTCACATTCCAAAATTCGAGAAAATAACAAAGTATCAGATATTTTAAAGCATTCTTGATCTATTTGAATACGTCTCAGCACCGATTTCAGGTTTGTATTATATATATATATATATATATATATATATATATATATATATATATATATATATATATATGAAGAAAAATATACGGAAAAAAACAAACAAAAATCCTTATATACAAATATGCTGTTTTAATGTTAATATGTCAACGTCGGACGTTTCCGTCTAATAAACCATCTTCAGGACATATTCATAAAATATAATTAACATTATCAATTCAACAAGACAAAGACGATGTACATAAGAAGAAGACTTATCCAAACAGGATTTTCGTTTGTTTTTTCCGTATATTTTTCTTCATACTGTCGGATCTATATCCATATATTTGCTTTATATATATATATATATATATATATATATATATATATATATATATATATATATATCAAATATGGTGCAGTTCAAATATTCATGAATCATTCATACAAAAACAGACTAGTGAAGTATGAATGATTCATGTAATATAAATTGAACTGCACCACATATTTGATTTAAAAAGAACTGATCCGACGTACAACTTCTGGGATAATAACTGCGACATTACTCTATTTATTGAACAATTTAGTAAATGCCACATCAACTGAAAACAACTACTACAACAAAAGAATTCTCCAATTACCATATTATTAAAAAAACGCGCTCACTTTTAAATTTTCATAAAATTCAACCTTAGCGTTGCGACCGCACGCTCCAAAATTCTTTACAGTTAACAATAACACATTTCTAAAAAAACATATTTCGACCTGGGTGTATTTAAAAAAACAAAAAAACAAATCAATTTCCATGCCTGATGATGTCTGTATGAACAGATAAAAGTACTAGCAGAAAAAAAAGACCTTATACAAGTTGAATTTATTAAAAACAGAGATCACAACATTAATCTAGAGGTTCGTGGGTTAATGTAATTTTAATAAATTTGTTGGCGAAGATGTATTCTCGAAATTTATATCATTAACTTCACTAATCTGTTTTTTTTTGTATGAATAATGAATGTAATATATATATATATATATATATATATATATATATATATATATATATATATATATATATAATAGAAGTTAACGTTGTGAAGCGTTTTTTGCTCTGTCTAGACAATCTAGGCCTAGATCACTTCTCTCTACTGACTCGGTAGGTGTTTGCCTTTGGGTTTTCTTTTTCTTAACTTGTTCGACATTTTATTTTGATTAAGGTGTTAGGTCTTTGGGCAAATTGTCAGTTGCTTTTTACAAAGTTTTTGTTTTTGTTTATATATATATATATGCAATAGAGAAATTAGCGTCTAAATTACGCAGAAATGAAAATAACACTGACATCTCCTAAATAACTAACAAACATATTGAACAAAATTACGTGAAATTATCTCGAAAGACCAAAGTGTAAGTTTATTCAATAAAATCGTCATATCCTCGTAGAAACTGTCTGATAGCCATGTTTGGTTTCCGCTGCATGTGTGGTATGATGGAGAGTCCTGATACCAGATATAGAGTCTTCCAATAGCCACCCTCTTCATCCAGGGCAGCATTAACTACTCAAGATATTGATGTAGACTTTCGTGTTGTGTTCTGGTTGGAAGAGGAATGGAGGCATAACATCGTCATAATTAGAGACAGTTCAAACACCTTCGCAATCACAATAAGACTGACCCAACTCTTGCCGAATCTTCTGTGCAGTCCTCAGATTGACATCCAAACACTCGGAAATTTTCTTATTGGAACTTCTGGTGCGAATTCCAAGCAGTGCATTATGCCATTTCCAGATTTCTGGCAGAGGGAATTGTGTCATGGCGGAATTTTATCCTATACGCTGCCCACTATACTGTGCAGTTGACAAAATACAAAAGAACGCACATGATCGAAATTAAAAATATGAAATGGCGACAATTTACGCATCGCATCACACACACATATATGTGTGTGTGTGCGCGCGTGTGTGTATCTTTGAAAGAGTATGTATGTATTTGAGTGTGTATATATGTATTTGTGAGTGTATGTGTGTATGTATATCGCCTTGTCAATTTGTAATTCATTTTTTAGCACTCATTTGACACAAATGAAGCCAATGCTTTATTTTGAACAATAGTAAGAAATACTTAGAATCGTCTTTCGAGCATTGTCATATCTGTGTTACTCATACAATCAGAGGTAAATCTTAGAATACAAAACCTTAGAAAAATCTCATTATAAACCCAGAAACCTGGCGTATCATTCATTTGGAAAAAAAAAAGATTTTTTTTTCTGTTTTTATTCTTTCATTCTGTTGTTTTATTCCCACATTGCCTTCTTGACTTCTTTGTTATTAAGCCTTTGGTATTCCCCCACTTTTTAAAATTTCCTTTTGTATAATTTCCGCGGGGCATTGGATGAGGACTGTTTAGAAACACTGGGTACTGTAAGCTACCTCCTACAATCTGAAATATATTACAGCTTTAAATATCCCACGAAGAATTGATAGGCCGTAAAAACACATATCAACCAATCAGTCCGTGGGGCATTTGCTTTCTCTTTTTTTTTTGCTGTTCCATTCCAATCTGCATTGACTTTTTTTTTTCTTTTGCTATTTTCACTTTCGTTTTCATTCTTCAATTTTCTCCTCTTCTTCATTTTTGTCATTGTTTTTTTGTATTTCTTCTTTCTTTCTAGGCTGCCATTTTCCCTTGAGATATTTCTTTCTCGCTTATTTTAGAATTAAATTCCATTCCTTCCATCTCCTTTTTGATGTTTTTCTATCTTTCTTAATTTCTATCGCCACTTCCCTCTCTCTTTTTCGTTTCATCTTTTCCTCTTTTTTTAAATTCCCATCTTAATTTCCTTATCAATTTCATTTAAGTTTTCTGCATTTTTCCAATTATCTTCATAGATTTAATTCTTTTCTTCCACACACACACACACACACACACACACACATACATATATATATATATATATATATATATATATATATATTAAAAATCTGTTTCTTCTACCACTACTTACCTTTGCTTTCTCTCTTCTGTTTTTGAATTTCTTTATGTCAGAATGAGAGAAACAATTATTTACATTATTTAAATTGCTCGTAGGCTGGAGCCACTGACTTGACAAAATGAGTTTAATACCTGGCTACTGCAGTAGTGAGCAGACACTTGGAGAGTTTAGTCAAAGGGAGATAACTGAGACATCCGAATTATCATGGCACGCGGAAAGAGAACAATCTCCCCCAGTGGACGAGATAAAGTGTTCAGTTCGAAATTCCAATCACATGAAGAAAGCCGGAGAATACAACTGTCTAAACGTCGTGAATATGACAAAAACGATTAAAGCAAGAATTTGAATAATTACAATATCTCATCTCAGAAATATAGACAGACTAGAAACATGGCCCGGCGTTGCCCGTGCTTGATTCAAAAATCGTACGACTCATACAGCACTGCACGCACTAAATTGTTTCTTCCCGCGCATATCGTGACCTTAAAGTAATCTGCATTTAGGAAATACCCAACCGGAAAAACATTTTTAAGGGTTGACCGATTGTCGATTTGCACTCTGTTTGGGGGGCGCTCAGAGTTGAAACTTCACATGGTGACTCCCAGTGGCCTCCTCATAAATCCGATCGGTTTTCGCTAAAAACCGACATGCGGTTCAGGTGCAATCTGGGCGTATCGGCTTTGGGGTTTTATCGATTTTCCGCGCTGTTTAGGGGTCCGTGGTCATGAAACTTCTGGACAACACTTCTAAAGGTAGACTCTAAGGGTGTCAAATTTGGTTGAAATTCCTTCTGTAAGCAGATTTTTTTGATTATCGATTTTTCGGAACCTGAGTCCGAACTGAAAAAATGGGCTGCGTCATGTCCTTAAGGCAGCCATTTGCAAACTTGTGGTGAAAACCGCATCGAAATCGGATGAGAAATGCGGCCTGGGTGTGGTAACAACGTCCACGACAGACACACAGACAACATGAAAAATATAGATAGTAGATATTGATAAAAGATATTCAAGAAAATTTGTTTTTTTTTTCTTCTTTTTCCTTCTTTAGTTTTTTTTTTTTTTACCTCTTTTCTTTTAATTTTTTTCTCTTTCTGTCCTTCTTTATTTTTGTTCTGTCTTTTTTTTTTCTTCTTTTGTTACTTTTTCTTTTCTTCATTATTTTTCTTCTTTATTTTTATTTTTCATTTTCTCATTCGTTTTTCTTTATTTACTTCATTATTTGTTCTTGTTTCTTTTTTTGTTTTCTCTTTCTTTACTTCTTTCATTTTTCTGTATTTCTTTATTTTTCTTCGTAAATTTTTCTTTCTTTCTCACCTGTCTCTTCTTTTTAATTTTTCTTTTGTTTATCTGTCTTTGCTTCTTCTTTCTTCTGCTTTTCTGTCTTTCTTTCTTTCTTTCTTTCTTCCTTTCTTTTTTCTTTCTTATTTCTCTTCTGTCTTTTTTTCTCTTCTCGATTTATTTCTGCACTTACTTGTTTATTATTATTATTTTTTTTTTTTCATGTATTTTTTCTTCTGTCTTTTGCGTTGACTTTCTCATTCATGTCCTCTTTTCTTCTTTCCTTGTTTTTTTCTTTTGGATTTCATTCCTATTCTTCTTCCTTTTGTTTCGCCTTCTTTCCTTCTTGTATGATTTCTTTTCTGTTTTACTTCCTCTTTTACAATCATTCACAACTTTTTCTCTTTCTCTTTCTTTCCTTTTGAATATTTTCCTTTCTCCTTTATGCTTTTTTTTTCTCTTTCTTCCTTATTTATTTTTCTTTCTTTAGTTTCTCTTTCGTTTCTTCTTTATTTTTTTCTTTCTGACTTTCTGGTTTTTCATTATTTATTCTTGTGTAATTTTCTTTCTTTTTTGTTTGACCTTTCTTTCTTTGATTTATCTCTCTTTTCCTATTTTTCTTCGGCCTTTTTTTCTTTTTCTTTCCTTCTTTAGTTGATTTCGTTTTCTTTCCTCGTTCACATGTTTCTGCTTTTAATTTTTCTAGGATTTGTCTTTACTTCTACATCTTTCTTTCTTTTATTCATTCTTTCTTCCTTTTTTTCTTTATTTCATTCATTATTTCTTTCTTTCTTACTTTCTTTCTTTCATTCTTTCTCTCTTTCATTCATTCTTTCTTCCTTTCTTTCATTCATTCATTTCTTTCTTTCATTTTTTCTTTCTTTCATTCATTCTTTCTTATTTCTTTCTTTCCTTCATTTCCTTATTTATTTCTTACTTTCTTTCTTTCTTTCTTTCATTCTTACTTTCTTTCTTTTTTCATTCATTCTTTCTTCCTTTCTTTCTTTCATTCATTCATTATTTCTTTCTTTCATTCCTTATTTCTTTCTTTCTTTCATTCATTCTTTCTTCCTTTCTTTCATTCTTTCATTCATTATTTCTTTCTTTCTTTCATTCATTATTTCTTTCTTTCTTTCAGTCATTCTTTCTTCCTTTCTTTCATTCTTTCATTCATTATTTCTTTCATTCATTATTTCTTTTTCTTTTTCATTCATTCTTTCTTTCTTTCATTCCTTATTTCTTTCTTTCTTTCATTCTTTCATTCATTCTTTCTTCCTTTCTTTCTTTCTTTCTTTCATTCCTTATTTCTTTCTTTCTTTCATTCTTACTTTCTTTCTTTTTTCATTCATTCTTTCTTCCTTACTTTCTTTCTTTTTCATTCATTATTTCTTTATTTCTTTTCTTTTCATTCCTTCTTTCTTTTCTTTCTTTTTCATTCATTATTTCTTTTCTTTCTTTCATTCTTTCATTCTTTCTTTCTTTCCTTTCTTTCATTCTTTCATTCATTATTTCTTTTCATTCATTATTTCTTTCTTTCTTTCATTCTTTTTCTTTCTTTTCTTTTTCATTCTTTCTTTCTTTCATTCTTTCTTTCTTTCTTTTTTCTTATTTCTTTCTTTTCTTTTCATTTTTTCTTTCTTTTCTTTCTTTTTTTCATTCATTCTTTCTTTCCTTACTTTCTTTCTTTCATTCATTATTTCTTTTATTTCTTTCTTTCATTCCTTCTTTCATTTTTTTTCTTTCTTTCATTCATTCTTTCTTCCTTTCTTTCATTCTTTCATTCATTCATTCTTTCTTTCTTTCATTCTTACTTTCTTTCTTTCTTTTTTCATTCATTCTTTCTTCCTTATTTTCTTTCTTTCATTCATTATTTCTTTATTTCTTTCTTTCATTCCTTCTTTCTTTCTTTCTTTCTTTCATTCATTCTTTCTTCCTTTCTTTCATTCTTTCATTCATTATTTCTTTCTTTCTTTCATTCATTCATTCTTTCTTTCTTTCATTCTTTCATTCATTATTTCTTTCATTCATTATTTCTTTCTTTCTTTCATTCTTTCTTTCTTTTTCTTTCATTCTTTCTTTCTTTCATTCATTCTTTCTTTCTTTCTTTCTTTCATTCCTTATTTCTTTCTTTCTTTCATTCTTACTTTCTTTCTTTTTTCATTCATTCTTTCTTCCTTACTTTCTTTCTTTCATTCATTGTTTCTTACTTTCTTTCATTCATTCTTTCTTCCTTTCTTTCATCATTTCAGTCATTATTTCTTTCATTCAATATTTTTCTTTCTTTCTTTCATTCTTTCTTTCTTTCATTCATCCTTTCTTCTTTTCTTTATTTCTTTCATTCCTTATTTATTTATTTCTTACTTTCTTTCTTTCTTTCATTCTTACTTTCTTTCTTTCTTTTTTCATTCATTCTTTCTTCCTTACGTTCCTTCTTTCATTCATTATTTCTTTATTTCTTTCTTTCATTCATTCTTTCTTTCTTCCTTTCTTTCGTTCATTATTCCTTTCCCATTCTTGTCCGCTATTCTTCTTTCCCAGTTTTTTTTTATTGCTGGATTTCATTCCTCTTCTTCTGCCTTTTGTTTCGCCTTCTTTCCTTCTTGTATGATTTCTTTTCTGTTTTACTTCCTCTCTTACAATCATTCACAACTTTTTCTCTTTCTCTTTCTTTCCTTTTGAATATTTTCCTTTCTCCTTTATGCTTTTTTTTTCTCTTTCTTCCTTATTTATTTTTCTTTCTTTAGTTTCTCTTTCGTTTCTTCTTTATTTTTTTCTTTCTGACTTTCTGGTTTTTCATTATTTATTCTTGTGTAATTTTCTTTCTTTTTTGTTTGACCTTTCTTTCTTTCTTTTATCTGTCTTTTCCTATTTTTCTTCGGCCTTTTTTCTTTTTCTTTCCTTCTTTAGTTGATTTCTTTTTCTTTCCTCGTTCACATGTTTCTGCTTTTAATTTTTCTAGCATTTGTCTTTACTTCTACATCTTTCTTTCTTTTATTCATTCTTTCTTCCTTTCTTTCTTTATTTCATTCATTATTTCTTTCTTTCTTACTTTCTTTCTTTCATTCTTTCTCTCTTTCATTCATTCTTTCTTCCTTTCTTTCATTCATTCATTATCTCTTTCTTTCATTTTTTCTTTCTTTCATTCATTCTTTCTTCATTTCTTTCTTTCCTTCATTCCTTATTTATTTCTTACTTTCTTTCTTTCTTTCATTCTTACTTTCTTTCTTTTTTCATTCATTCTTTCTTCCTTTCTTTCTTTCATTCATTCATTATTTCTTTCTTTCATTTCCTTATTTCTTTTCTTTTCTTTCATTCTTTTCTTCCTTTTTTCTTTCATTCTTTCATTCATTATTTCTTTCTTTCTTTCATTCATTATTTCTTTCTTTCTTTCATTCATTCTTTCTTCCTTTCTTTCATTCTTTCATTCATTATTTCTTTCATTCATTATTTCTTTCTTTCTTTCTTTCATTCTTTCTTTCTTTTTTTCTTTCATTCTATCTTTCTTTCATTCATTCTTTCTTTCTTTCTTTCATTCCTTATTTCTTTCTTTCTTTCATTATTTCATTCATTCTTTCTTCCTTTCCTTCTTTCTTTCTTTCATTCCTTATTTCTTTCTTTCTTTCATTCTTTTTCTTTTCTTTTTTTCATTCATTCTTTCTTCCTTACTTTCTTTCTTTCATTCATTATTTCTTTATTTCTTTCTTTCATTCCTTCTTTCTTTCTTTCTTTCATTCATTATTTCTTTCTTTCTTTCATTCTTTCATTCTTTCTTTCTTTCTTTTCATTCTTTCATTCATTATTTCTTTCATTCATTATTTCTTTCTTTCTTTCTTTCTTTTTCTTTCATTCTTTCTTTCTTTCATTCATTCTTTCTTTCTTTCATTCCTTATTTCTTTCTTTCTTTCATTCTTACTTTCTTTCTTTCTTTTTTCATTCATTCTTTCTTCCTTACTTTCTTTCTTTCATTCATTATTTCTTTATTTCTTTCTTTCATTCCTTCTTTCTTTCTTTCTTTCATTCATTATTTCTTCCTTTCTTTCATTCTTTCATTCATTATTTCTTTCTTTCTTTCATTCATTCATTCTTTCTTTCTTTCATTCTTTCTTTCTTTCTTTCTTTCATTCCTTGTTTCTTTCTTTCTTTCATTCTTACTTTCTTTCTTTCTTTTTTCATTCATTCTTTCTTCCTTATTTTCTTTCTTTCATTCATTATTTTTATTTTCTTTCTTTCATTCCTTTTTCTTTCTTTTCTTTCTTTCATTCATTCTTTCTTCCTTTTCTTTCATTCTTTCATTCATTATTTCTTTCTTTCTTTCATTCATTCTTTCTTTTTTCTTTCTTTCATTCTTTCATTCATTATTTCTTTTCATTCATTTTTTTTCTTTCCTTCATCCTTTCTTTCTTTTTCTTTCATTCTTTCTTTCCTTCATCCTTTCTTTCTTTTCTTTTCTTTCTTTCATTCTTATTTCTTTTCTTTCTTTCATTCTTACTTTCTTTTTTTTTTCATTCATTCTTTTTCTTCCTTACTTTCTTTTTCATTCATTGTTTCTTACTTTCTTTCATTCATTCTTTTCTTCCTTTCTTTTTTATCATTTCAGTCATTATTTCTTTTCATTCAATATTTTTCTTTCTTTCTTTTCATTCTTTCTTTATTTCATTCATCCTTTCTTCTTTTCTTTATTTCTTTCATTCCTTATTTATTTATTTCTTACTTTCTTTCTTTCTTTCATTCTTACTTTCTTTCTTTCTTTTTTCATTCATTCTTTCTTCCTTACGTTCCTTCTTTCATTCATTATTTCTTTATTTCTTTCTTTCATTCATTCTTTCTTTCTTCCTTTCTTTCATTCATTATTCCTTTCCCATTCTTGTCCGCTATTTTTCTTTCCCAGTTTTTTTTTTATTGCTGGATTTCATTCCTCTTCTTCTGCCTTTTGTTTCGCCTTCTTTCCTTTTTGTATTATTTCTTTTCTTTTGAGATTCGGCTTCCTCTCTTACTATCATTCAAGGCGTTTTTCTATTGCCTTTTCCATTCTGGTTCTTTCCTTCTGAATATCTGACCTTCTCCCTTTTGCATTGTCTCTTCTTATCCTTCATGTTTTGTTTTTCTGTTGTTCCGTTTTTCATTCTCGCTTTTTTAATTGATGTCAATAAGATCTCAATACTAGCACAGAGTAACAAACGCTCACAAAATCCCTCTTCAATTTCTCTTCGACAAAGTCATCTGAATGCGGTCCAACCTTCTCAACACACAGACATGTTACTTTTTTTTAAAACTCCTTAGTGCCAAACTTTGCAAATTTAATGAATATACCAACAATGCAACAGAACTCTGGGCGTGACCAGAACACCCTCACCGTTTATATTAATTAGAATCTTGTGTTCACTCGCGTTTTAAAATTAACGAGAATCTCCTGACCTTGCGACTTTCTAAGAGACGCTGACACCGTTCAACTTACTTAATCAAATCCTATGTTGAAGCAATTTCTTGATAGCTCATCTGATTCGACACAGAAAACTAGTATTGATAATGTTAATGCTAATATTAGCACTTTCCCTTACAAGCAAACGTTTGACATTCGCTGGCCCAGCAGACAGTATCACTTTCAGTTGAAATTTATTAAATATTTCTTTTAAAACTCTTTTATAGGAAAACAGGTTTCTCAATTCCAGTAGTTTTGTCACTCTTTCCATTATTGATAGGGTTTCCATTCCGAACCTTCTATTTGAAGATGTGTAGAATGTTAACTTTTTGATTTTGTCATCATTTTTCCTTCTTGTTTTATGTTCTATCTATTTTAGTTTTTTTTTTTGTTTCTCTTGGTAGTCTTCAAATGTTTTGGTTTCTGTTATTTGGTACAGTCTTTGTTTGTGATTGTAAAGGGCACGTCTACATTTTTCAAAGATGGATGTTCTTCGTCAAGACACATAGGCTTCTTTCCCTCGAGACATTTTATCACCATTACTCTTATGAAGCGGTTGGATATAGCTGACAGTTTAGATATTTATGAACAGTTATATGAAAGTAATTCCAGACCAGTGAACGAGTAAATATTTTATATTCAGTATCGTTCTCTTAAGTTGTTCTAAGTCAATTGTTTCCCAAACTTGTTCTCTAATATACACTATTCAGCATGTTTTCACGACATCCTTTTCTTCAGTCTTTTCAATCAAATTTTTAATCAAACTAAAATACTAGGGCTTTTACAGTTGTTAAATGAAATGTCAGCTGATTTCGGCATTTATGTATCATGGCGTATTCTCGCCAATTGTCGTTGTATTAAATTGTATCTGTAAGACTTGAGAATAAGAGTTCGAAATAAAGTATATCGACAATCCCTCTACTTTAATATGCTGTGTTTCTTCAGGGGTGTGTCGATCCTGACTCTCCACCACATTATATCCGTTTTTGATCCTAGTATAGGCTGTCTTGTTATCGTCTCTCCGACTCCCTGTTCTGCCATCTATATGGAAAAGCTTGTATGTTTACTCTCCGTTCCCCACTGTGCTTCTTGCCTATGAGTATCAGACTGTCCAAGGGCCTTTTTTTCCTTAGTATGCCTCATAGAAATTTCATCTGTTATTTTCTGATTCAAAGTATGAGCGTCCCGTTTGTTTCTATTGTCCTGAAATCTCCTTTCTTAATCAAATATCTAGCCAACTATATTCTCAGCATCCTTCTGTAGAGTTACGTTTCATTTGTCTCCTGCATCTTGGCTGAGGTTGCCCAGCATCCACTGATTTATAGGAAGACTAATATTATATAACACTTCATCACTATTTTCCTTTGGTTCTAACGAAATCTTCCTGTTTCCTTATATTATTTTAAACATTTTGAATGGTTCTATCGCTATTCCAATTGGGATGTCAACATGATATTTTCCGTTCTATTTTAAAATATTACCATGATATTTATGTACTTGCTTGATTTTGCTGTCTTCAGTTCGTAGTTCTCACGTTAGGCTTTTCGTTTTGCTGACGGCCTTACATTCAGTCTTCATACAATTGATGGTTTACCCTTTCTTTTCAAAGATGAAATACAAAACGCTATTGTAACTATTCGCAATATTCTAAGGTTAGTTTCTTAATGAAACAGGTAGGTGTTGTAACCTAGAAAAGGTTACTGAATGAGGAATAAGCAAAATGGACGTTGGAAATGAAATGGTAATTTTATGACCTAAACAAAATAAAATACTCGCCAGCGGCGTAAAGTAGGTAAACCACTGCTAGTGGTGAACATTTAGACAGCATATTACCCCCACTTACAATAGTGTCCAACGTATTTGAGGATTGGGACATGTGCATTAGTGTTCATAGGTACGGTATATAATAGATAGATAGATAGAGAGATAGATAGATAGATATGAACAATGTAATAGATAGATAGATAGATAGATAGATAGATAGATAGATAGATAGATAGATAGATAGGTAGTGTTGTAATCTAGAGAAAGGTTACTGAAAGTGGAATAACCAAAACGGGGGTTGGAAATTAAATAACATCAAAAAAATACAATACTCGCCAGCGGCGTGATGTACGTAAACCACTGCTCGTGGTGGAATACTTAGATAGCATATTACCCCCACTTACAATAGTTTCCAACGTATTTATGAGGATTAGGTCATACTCATTAACGTTCATAGGTACAGTATATAACAGTTGGATTAAGGAAAATTTCACCAGATAATTAAAAGCACAAATTACATTGGTGGTTAGAAATAAATATTTGATATCCTGTCCTTTTGTGTAACTGTTTCAATCTACGTTGCAAACATTGTTCGCCTACCAACCATTGCGAACGGGTGTTTACAAATTTTAGGTTCACCCCAATTCCAAAATCAAATCTGATACCAAAAAAGTAATTTCTTTATTTTACATTCACTGGCCAACTCGAGAACGTTTCAAATGCCATTCGTACAATAGAACTCTTGGGATAGTTTGGAGCTTTTAAAATATGTATGGGTAGGGGAAAAAGCATGAGAAAAAAAAATAAAACTTCAAACACACCTCTACAAATTCTAAATAAATTTTGTAATTGAGGATTTGTTTTCTTTCAAGTTGAAAGAAACGAATTCCAAAGATCCTCTCGATATAAATTCCCAGAAAAATATTTTTTTTTCTTTACAGCTCAACAGAAATAATTCTGTTAATCGGATAGAAAAGCATGAGTATGTCTATTTAACGCGAGAGTCTAGTATTTACTTTTTTTATGAATGCGTTTAATTTTTCGTCAGTCTGCATGTCAGCACTCAGTAAATGAGTACTGTGTTATAACTACAACTAATATGCTTGTTGATATAACTCCGTTCGTATGTTTTAAATGTTTCTTACTTTAAGGTATAGCATGTTGTTCTACGACACGTGATCATTAGTCAACTTCCCCTCTTTCCTTGATGTTTTCAATTTTCGCCCTAGCCACAGTCGGAAAACACTAGATCCAACACTCAACAAATTCTGGTGCGTCCAAGCGACTTAAACATCCTACCGATGAGGCAATACTTTACTTCAAATTTGCGAGGGTATCGCAAGAAGTTACTCGATAAAAAATATGAATGGTTTAGTAATAAATCATATGAGAGCTGACAGTAATCAGATATGCATAGCCACAACAGACACTAGTCAAAGTTTTGCAGAAAAACTGAAAAGTAACTTCGTGAATTTACGCGACGAATATTTATAGAAAATAGATTAGCTGAAGGAAGTTAAATGTTATTTTTAATAAAATCAGAAGTTTATTGGTTAATAATATATTTTCCCAATTTTGAAATATCTAATTTTAGGAGGGAAAATTATATGAATCATATTCCCGAGGGATCTTTCAAATTTTGTAGGCGCCAACAAAATAGTTGTTTGAAATTTCAAAGCCTTAAGAGCGTTTGACATAACATCGCTGATTGGTTAATAAGTGCTAATATGGAAATTCAAATTGTCGCCTACTTTTTGCACAAAATGATTATTTTGCGATATTAATTAAATCTATTTATTTTTTATTTTTTATACACGTTTTAACGGTGTTCCACTTATTCTTTTTTTGTTTTGTTTTGAGATTTTAAGGCTTCAGTGATTAAAAGCGACATGGATGATAATAATAATAATGGACTCTCCCGTCGGTTTCGCCATATGAGCTTTCAGTTATGAAATTTTGTGCGATAATCTTAAGTGGATCTTAAGAGCCGTTAGTGATTTACAAAGGAGGCTGCATATGGAGCAAAAGTAAGGATTGTGGGGTGAGATCACTGTTAAATTAGCTGACCTTTTAGATCTTTCTCTCGTTTCTTGAAGATGACCCAGACAAGCTGAGTGGAAACTGCTGAGTCCACTAAAACACGTTGATCTCCATTCTACCCGCTCCAAGGCTAAGCGCTCGAAGGGGTTATGAGTTATACTGACAGCTGACAATTTGCACTTCAGCTTGTCTTTGTGTCTTATCCATGGACGTCCTACATTCCTGTAGCCCTGATCGTACTGGCTGTACATTAGGATCTTGGGTATCCTGTCATCAGACATCCTCAAGACATGACCAATCAACCGTGACTGAGACTGTATGAAAAAAATTCTCGCTTCCTCCAATATTACACCTGTTAAACTGGCCTACATTAGATGTCCTATCTTGAAGATTAACTCCACGGATGACACGCAGACAGCTTTTATGGAAAACATACATTTGGCGTATGGAGTCTACGACTCTGAGACATACAAAAGGATGGCAAGGACAACAGCTCTGTAAACCCGAATTTTCGTATCCAGTCGAATACCCCGCTCATTCCATAAGCGATGGCGAAGTTTGCCGAAAGCATTGGTAGCCTTAGCAATCCGATGCATGATTTCATCATGTAAAGTTCTACTAAGCTGAGGATTGGCATCCAGACGTGTTTCACTAATGGCCGCTATGTCGATGTTATACATCTTCGAGAGAAACAAGAGCTGTTTTACGCTCTGGTGGAGAATCATTGTCCCGAAGAGTGTAAACATTCCAGGACGAAAATAAATATTCTTCTTATATTTCTTTTGATCTTTCTTGCTGTTTCGACTGCATTATTTGATAACCAGACAGCTGCA